TATTCTTGCTCTGTTTTGTAAAGTATGGAATCTTGCTCTGATGATGTCTGTCACAGTATAGACGAAAGCTTAGCGTAGTTTCATCAGGGTCGCAGGATGATGAGGCGAGGACTTCTTCGTACAATTCAACAGCCTTCCTTACACTACAATCCTCCTTCGGTTTCCGATGAGACTCCATCACGAATTCCTTCCAACCAACTCTCCCTTCGAAATGGAGGTCATGTCATTTTTTCATTAAGGGATTCTTCGAAACCCAGTTTTTGTTCATATGCTTGCGAATGTACCCGGCCACTAGTCCAATGCTGGAACTCACTAATTCTATTGCAGAGGACAATTTACTGGGTACCTTCTGCAAGGTCTACCTGTCGCTTGATCAAGTTTCGAAAAGAAGGTCGAACCAGCACTATAAAGCTAAGGTATACTAAGACCAATTAAAAGGCCGCACCATCTTGGTTTTCATATCCACGTTCTTTTGAGGATGTTAATGTAACCTAGCCGATGTCTTAAATATGGTCCATTCTAGATAAGAACGTTTTTTGGCAGGCAATGCTAAGTGAAATTCAATGCCACTGTGACGCCTATTCATTTCACTATGGGCCTATTCCATTCTCATATTTTTGCTACCAAAGGTATTTTCATCTTTACATAATCTATCTGCTATTCTCCACATTTCTTTGTTTAACCAAGCTGAAATTCGCAAGGATACTTCGGGACAATTTCAGATTGCACTTCTTCTGGGTGATGTTCCTGAACGAATCAAGATTCTTCGAAATTGTGGCCAGAGTAAGTCTCAGATTAGCCCGTCAAAAATTAGATTCTATATATTTTTCTCATCCTGCCTGTAGCCATGTCCTCATTTTAAGACCATTTTTGGATTTCCTGAAAGGCAAAAGCAACACATTAAAGGTGTACTTATTGGATCTCCACTTATACACCCAAATATTTTAGGATCAATGCAACAGTTAAACAAAGAATTTCGGATGGGTGAAATAAAAGGATAACGAGGTTACGATTTATAGATATCCCTTCTCAGTTTCTAGCTTCAATTGGAACTGCACATTCCAGCATATCTTTTCTTATAAAAATATGACTTCATACCGAAGATCTTTTGTAATTGGACTGGGCGTGTCTAGGTCTGTCGAGTTCCTTTAGCGTCTGTTTCTTATGATAAGCTGTTCCCCTGATGTGTTTGGGGTCTCGCCTTAATCCCTTCTAACTAATAACCATGGCCTGTACCCCTATCTTTTGCCTATCCTTTTCACGTCCCCACTCCATTCTTTCATTCTTTGGATCCCTGTAACAAGGCTCGATTTGGAACTGCTGTTATGTAGACAAACCTCTTCCGTTCTCCACTCTTAAACTATGTAAAGAGCACTTTTGTCTCCTAAGTTGACGATTTCACCTAAGCCTAGGCTTCTAGTCTATTATGCATATGTACTCTGATTGGTAACTACCCTAGTCAGCCATGTCATCAGCCACTTCTCACTACAAGCTCATACACGAGAACGTACACATTGTGGACCTACGTATATTGTATCCTCACCTCAATTTCCACACTCAATTGGATTTTATATGGACCTAAAAACTAACACCTAATAGTGTGCTATTCAGATGTTTATGTGCCTTTAACTCCATATATCACATTTAACTT